GTTTAGGGTTTAGGGTCCATATGGGGGTTATGTGAGCTATGGTCTAGTCTCCTTAAAGGGGTTCCGAAAGAGTATATAGGGGATTACTACTGGGGTTGCTAAGGGGGATGCTAGGAGTTTAGGCCATAGCCCATGTAGCTTTATAACTGTCATCTGGGGGTTGTCCAATAATTTGTCAAAAGCCCTGCGCGCGCAAGCTCCGCGCAAGCACGGCGCAAGGTTGGCGCAAGGGTTCGAAAACGCCCATGGCATTATAGTTGTTGTGTGGTGAGCCTGCGCGAAAACCATTGTAAGCCAAACTGTGCGCGCTCAAGCTCGCGCAAGCTCCGCGCAAGCACGGCACAAGCTCCCAGTTTGAGATATTTGAGATGAAAGAATATTGGACAACCCCCATCTATTGATGAAATTGATGAAGCTGACGAAACTGATAAACTCTATAGCAGAGTTATGCAAGCTGGTAGACAAGCCCGCAGATACATAAGGGTCCTACGTACATAGGGATTGCAGAGGGGGTATGGGGATAGAAGGATATGTAGGTGCTTCAACGATGTCCTGATTGTTCAGGGTGTAGGAGTTCCACGGAAAAGGGACAGGGGATCGGTACATTGAACGCATGGGAGATAGAGACATGTCAGTCATTCAGCAGGGGCGCAAACAAGATCCCTTGAACATCCCGAGTAAGGCAGGAAGGTGCTCAATCGGGTTTTGTCCAAGGCTGTGACTAAGGTAGACAAGGCGCATGGAAAGGCTAGAGTTAAGCGAGGGTAGCCAGATATTGGCCGGGGAATTTCTTCGAGCTCAGTGTCATTCGCAAAACCATGGCATTCCATGACTAGCCAAGGTGAGATTGTCGCAGAAGTGTGCCCTCACATGGATTACTAAGTGGTAGTTTCCCTAAATAGGAGCACCATAATAGAATCCTAATCATAGGGACCCCCAGAATGGTACCCCTGATATTGGGAAACCCCAAAGTCATTTAGCTTCAAGTGTTTCAACTGTAGCCTCGCAGCAGAGATCCTGGAAGACATCCGGGAAGTGCCTCTGGCTGCTGGATGTTCGCGCGTTGGGCCAACGTTGCCCACAATTGTCTGTAGGATTTAGGGTTTAGGGATTAATTCTAGGGAGGCAAGGTTTAGGGTGGAGGGAATGCATGGAAATTTGCCCCAGGGGCAAGCTCATGCAATCAGGCGCGGGGTGAGCCTGCGGTTGAAAGTCGACATGTGAAGCATGTCCTGGGGGATGAGGTGCTATTCTGCGAGCATCCTGTTTGATGCTTTGTTAAACAGGGGTAGAGGGTCTAGGGGCTATGTTGGGAGAATGGAAAAGAAATGAAAACTACATTTTAGGGTTTAGGGTTTAGGCTGGTGGGCTACAGCATCTGAAGGTTTTGACGCAGGTAAGCTTGTCGGAAGTTCGCAGATGGCATGTCGTTGGCAGCTGAACTCGTACAGAGTCTGGTGGTACGGGCAGGTGGCATTTTAAACATGGAATGTCCGTATACTGGAGTAGACAAGGCACACACCTACATGGCATAAGTTCGTTTTGTATAGTATAGTCTAGCCCCCCTCAAGTAGATAGAATATGGCGTTGGGTACATTAAAATAAAATCCCCATATACCCCAAATTCTATCTACTTAAGGGGGACTATATCCTAAACCCTAAGCTCCATATTCTGTCTACTTGAAGGGGACTATAGCCTCAATCTGTAGTACTTTCCATGGAAGGAAAAAGCGGCTGCATGGCATTGCCCTCCCAGCCTCAGAGTTCAGGATCTTAGTGCTGGAAGGAGTGGCAGTGATAGGGTCGTTGCTGTTGGTGGGCTTTAAAAATTTTAGGTTTTACAATTATAAGATTTCTGTAGGGGTTATATTGGGATAATGGAAAAGAAAGTGGGAGCTACTATATCATAATAGGCTCTTGTTGGGGTTGAGAATTCCATAGCTTGCTGGCAATAAATATTCGCAGCCACTTCCCAGCTAGGCTTATGGCATGGGAGCTCGTCTGCGCTTGGACAAAAGCACCTGCATACCTTCATAGGCCTTAGCAGCTGGGTAGGTGCACTTTAGATTTTTGGGGTTCTTATATTCCCATTAGAATAAAAAGTGTACACTTCTTAGGGGCCAGGGAACTCAGCAACTAGGTAGACTAATGCGTGGGGACATGTTGGATTTGTTCTCGTATGTTGATTGCACGTCTGCGGTCAGATGGTTACATCTCAGCGCATCGTCCCTTTTGTATGAGCTTCTGACTGCTAGTCTCAGAAGGTGAAGCAGGCAGCAGAAGTGTGGATGCTCTTATGAATGATCTCATGCTGAATCATCCTTGCGGCATGCCAGGGGTAGGCAACAGCTGACGCATCGGCCACTTGCAACGTATTGAGGCTACGAGGAAATGCTCGTTGTTAGAAAGGCTGAGGCGCGGTGACTGCCAGGGAGCATCACGAGCTCTAGAGTGGGTGGCCAACGGTTGGCTCTTTGAAATGAGCGCGTAGTGCAGAACCTAGACGTATCAAGAAACCATGTGAACAAGCAAGTCAACCCCGCGTTGCTTTGGTCAAGAACTCCGATGGTGATGCAAATCAAAGGTAAATCAAACCTTGTGCATCCTGGGAGGGCAATCAACAATCACTTGAATTTGGCCGTCTACCACGGGTTCCGGTTGCAACATGTCGGAATGCACGTCGTTGATTCTCGTCTTATTGAAGGAGAAGTTTCGGATGTTGCAATGCCTCGCACTCTCAGCATTTGCAGCTCAAAGCTAGCTCGGCAAAACCTCAAGCCCGCTTGTGCGACTATGCGCGGTTTACTGCACCTTCAGTTTCCACGTAGCGCAAGTCTCAATTTTACTTCGCACATCTCAATGTAAGACCCGCCTCGGTTGGCCAGCTCCACAGTTTAAAGTAGACTCCATTCAAGCCCAATTTGCATTTAATTTTCCATTTTCAAGCCACCAGTTCTGGATTATATCCATTATTGGGGTATAGGTAGAGTCGAAGCCTAGCCTGTAGGATTTACAGCCATGGCCGTTAAGCGGCTATGCAGCGTCCTGCTCGTCGTAAGATTGGCCGTGGTGGCTCGTGCAACTTGCCCCGCGCTTTGCACGGCTACCTCAAACAACGCTGCCTGGCCATGCCGCTATCATAGCAATGGATGTCAGGTGGGTGGTGCTCAACTTGTTCTCAATACATTAGTAACCCTAGCCAGGACCCCCCACATGCGATTGCAATTCCTGTGTTGCGAGACCACCAGGTGACAGTGGCGGCTAACCCTGCACGGGCTGGTGCCGCAGACGTTAACGTTGCGGTGATCAGCCCATATAGTGGTGGCCTAGGGGAGCTGATGACCATGGTTGAGCCTGCGCTTGCAGCGGCGGCGCAGGATGTGGAGAACAGCAACTTTCTACCCGGATTTCGGATGAACCTTTTCCTGGGTGACTCCAAGTGCTCAGTGCCAGGTGCCACGCAGGCAACCATAGAGGCCCTCGCAAGAAGCCCCACGAAGCACGCCCTTCTGGCCGACTCCTGCAGCGCAGCATGCGAGGCCATGAATGATGCCACTCAGTTCTTCAATGTCCTGCAGGCAGCAAACCCAAACAAGCCAGATTTCAAAGCATGGGTGCCCTGCAATTAGGCTATAAATCATCGCAAACTTGTATCAACCCGAAAGTTTGCGACACGCAGGTGTTGAAGCCCAATTTAAAAGGGCTGTGTCAGGTCTCTCCCGGATGTATCTCGGAAAGCCTGAGTGACTCCACGCGCTATCCATATTTTACGCGAATGGCTCCGTCATACCGCTTCAATGTCCAGACGCTCTACGAGTACCTTTGAAGTGAGCCTCAAAAATTTTGTAAGAGGGAGGGTTGTTGTGATTCGTAAGATCCCAGAGTGGCAAGTTTCACTTCCGCCCAGCTTAGGTTCACAAAGCTCATGGGCTTCCAGCGAATCGGGATTGTTGTCGGATATCGGAGCATCAACACACTCGGTGTGGATTACCTTAAGGGACTCATACGAGACGACGTGTCAGCAGGTCGTTACAACTGGACAGTGCTGTTCACGGTGCAGATCACAAGCTCAGGCAACATTGCGGATGCCCAGAGTGCCGCTGAAGAGATAGAGCGCAAGGACTCTCGAATAAACATCGTGGCGTTGTACCAGACCGAGGGGGCGATGTTTTTGTGCCAGACCCACGGGCGAAATCTTCTTTCCCCAGCCTATAGCTTCATGATTGTTTCCGGATGGTGGAACCCTGGCTTCATCTTGGAGAGGTCGGGCGCAAGTGACTGCCCCTGCACGATTACCGAGCTGCACCGTGCTGCGTATGGGGTCATTGCAGCTGACCGCGGGCCCATGTTGAACACGCAAGATGTACATGGTCTGTCCGGTCGCAGCCTTGCGGACATTTACGGCAATTACACAGAGGAGTGCTTGAGCTTTGGTAATGGGACAGGAGTTTGCAATCATCAGTGGGCTGGGTATTTTTACGACGGCGTCTGGCTGATTGCAAGCATCCTTCACACCTACTTGGTGGATGGGAACAGGCTGGGAAAACACAGCTGCAAGCAAGAGAAGTATACAGCCTAGAGATGACCTCAATAGCAGGTAGGGGCCTTGTTGACATACCAAAGCAGTTGGATTCCCACTTTCAAAGCAGGTCGGTCGCTGACCTGGCTACACCTGCTGCCCGGCAGGCTCTGGAAGCCCTTTCGCTTCAGGTGGATTTTGCAGGCACCACTGGGCAGGTGCGGCAGTTCAGCAGCCCAGATTTTGAGGGAGATCGAGATGGGGTCATCCTGCTTCGGCAAGCAGGAGGGCCTCCTGAAAACACCTTCAACCACTTGGCCTACCGCACACAGACAGGCATCCTCTTCCAAACGGATGTGGTGTGGAGTCCCGACCCAGCCCACCGCATCAGCTGTAGCAGTGGCACCTGTGACCTCGTCAATGGCTTTCAGCCGGCAGATCGCAGTAGCAGCTGTCCAGATGGCAGGGTTTGGATCAATGAGCAGGGCTGCTCAGAGTGTCCACAAGGGGAGTGCCTTGGATCTTAAGTTGTTTCGTGTTGTTCTCGCGTACATTCTGGTGTTTTGGAAGGTTTGCTTCCAGCGGCATGGCCCAGTGTGAGCCTTGCAGCATTGGCTCCTTTGCCAACGCTACGGGATCTGGAAGCTGCCAGTTACTGGGCCGAAATTCAGAGTTCATCACAATTCCATTTTTTCTTCTAGACTTCAGTGGTAGCAGTGAGACCTCCCACCTTGTCCTACCAGGCTGTGCTCGCCTGGACGCTACTCATCGGTCCCCAGGGCCTCCTCCTGTACGGATTGTCCAACAGGCGGATGGTGGAGTGCCAGGTTTGTCTCTTCGGTTGGTTGTGAGATTTTGAAGTCTATGTTCTCGTCGCCCAGCAGCAAAATACCCAACTCGCCAAGTATCCCTGGCATACCCTACCTCAGAGTATCTCTGCCGTGCCCGACCCAAAATACTCCAGAGGTTCCCAATCTCTCGCTGCAATGCCCAATTTGAGGTCCAATCCCCACAGCATAAATCCAAGCCTTCCCACTACCTCAACGGTAGTGCTTGAAACGTACAGATGGTTGTTATGTTTGCAGCCCAGCAAAGATTACATGGCTGATGCATGCTCCACGTTGTTGCTGCAAATAGTGGATGATGCTAGCAAACCACGAAAAGGTAAGGTGCAGATGTTCGAAGCAGATAATTCAGATGGCGCTTGTTTGAATTGCAGACTATGTGCATCAGTGGGTGCACGTTTTGGCGCTACGAATCGGTGAAGGACTGCTTGCGGTCACCTTGCGGTATAATGCTGGAGAGATGTTGACTGACAACAGTTGAGCACCTGCCTATGGTAACTCTTGAGCAGCTCGAAATAACAAAACGCGAGAATACACTTGTACGAGTCACTGTGGCAAGTGGCGACAGGCAAGTGCAGCATGAGAAAACCATAGGCGAAAGTAAGACGAAGTCGACCACAAGAAAAAAGCATGATAGGAAAGTGATGCAGAGCACAAGGGGAAGCGCTAAGAAGGCAACAACAACTTAGCAAAGCTTGTTTGCAAGGCGAAACGTTTGCAAGTCAAAATGCAGTGATGTCACTCGGGCGCAGAAATGATAGGGAAAGAAGGACGTAGCTAGGACAAAAGCCAAAACAACATTCAAAAGAAGCTCAGAGGCGGAGGCATGTTTGCACGGCAGCAGTCCAGCTCAACAGTTTCTGAGGAGTTATGCTATGCCAAATAGAACCCAGAGATGAATGCTGACGCTTTCGGGTTTCAGTCGTGGCTAAGGGGTCCTTTCAGCAGCCCTGGTTAATCATGTTACCAGCACCTTGTGGAAAGCATGTTGCTTGAGGCCCATGAACGGTTCTTGGAGTATATAAAAACTGTCAGTTTTTTTGCCAGGCTTGGTGCCTCTTGATTGTCTATGATTTTGCTGTACAGGGCTTGATCAGGGCTGGCACTTTCAGAATGTTTCCTCACCCAATGCTACTTTCATTCAATCTTTGTGGGAATTCCCTTCCTGTACTTTGCGTTGTGGTATGACTGCCCGCCTCACTTTGTTGGGTTCCGATCCTCACTTCATTAAGCATGCTCTTCTTGTCCTGCTTTCCAGGCTCTGGTTCTGAATTGGGGGGAACAGCAGGTTTTCGCATGATTTGCCACTGGGGAACTGCAACATCTCGCCTGCCTCTCTGCCTTCAGGTCAATTCAGTGAGTCTCCTGGCGAGTCGATTTGCACGAAGTGCCCTCGTGGATCCTATGCGGAGTTGCGAGGTCGCTGTGGGGAGTCAACACCACACAACTCCCAAGTGCATAGAGCATGATATGGAAAGGCGATGAATTATCAAAAGACCTGGAGGTCTAAACACCGCATGTTTTGTTGAGTAGTTGTGGTGGCCTTGTGACAGGCTATACAAGCTAGAGAATTTTCTCATGAGACACATGTGGGAGCTTCCAGTAAAAATTCCCTTCCCCCGTCTACCCTACATATCTAAATGAGGGCCCCGCAAGGAAACCCCATATCCAAGACCCACTGGTGGTTAGCAGGGAATATAATGCCCATTTTTCCCTACATCTATTCCCTGCTAACCATCCGGTAAGAAGATGTGTCTTTGAGTCAAGCAGGTCAGGCGACCTGTACACCTTGCCCGCCAGGGCTGAACACGAACTTTGAGGCACTGTGCAGCTTGTTTTCACGTGGTACTTTCCATGAATAGAGGGACCCCAACATAGACGCCAAAATATTACAATCCGTATTACCGGGCCACCCAAAATACGGTACCCTAATTTTGCGGAGGGATGTGGACAGGCAGGAGAAGGGAATGCCGACTGCATGAAAGGATGATGGTGGCCGAGAAACCCTAACTACTCATACTTTTGGGGGGAGCTAAGGAGCTAGGGATAGTCTATATCAATATAATAAGGGGAGCTAAAGAGCCCAGGAATCTCCAAAACCATAGGGGAGCTAAACCCTTAAACCTCAAGCCCTAGACCTACAGGGCGCCATCGAGCTCAGCATGTGCCAGTGCGATGGCTCCTTGCTTCGCTATTCCCAGACCATGGCTTTGAATATACTATACCATACTCGTAGCATTATATGCTATATTATAGTATAATTTGGTAGAATATACTGTATTATAGTAACATCGTGTCAAATAGTATAACACATTATAACACACTATACTATACTATACTATACTATGCTATACTATACTATAATATGCTATAAGCGTGGCGGGTTCATGTGGTGGCATGTGTTGAGGGACGCTTCCCGCCCATGGGATGTGGGTTTGGTTTGTTGAAACTTACCAACTTGCTCCGCTTGCTTTGTTCCCTTCGAATTTGCATTTGGGAGCTTCTTAGAATCCTCCTATTGGAATCTCCGATCAGGACCTCCCTAATACTATAGTTGAAGACACCATACTATAGTATAATGCAGTGTGAAATACTATAATACCTTATAACACACTATAATATACTATAATATACTATAGTTTGCCTGCTGGTGTCAGAGCCAAGGCTTTTACTGGGAGCAACAATGCGTCAAATGTCAGTTTGGGCAGCGCTTCGAAGCTGGAGTCTGCGAGACTTGTCAAAAACATCCGGCACAACAGTAGAGTAAGTAGCTAGATTGCAGTCCTCTTCCTTGGCAAATGATGTCACGGAAATGCTTTGAAGGTGACCTGCAATCGCAGCGTGATCTGCGAGGAAGGTGTGATTGTTGGCAATGCTCCCTCAGCCGAAGCATGGAGCAAGACCATCAATGCAGCGGGACTGCAGCGAACGCTCTCCCAAAGGATGACCATTGAGTTTTTGCTCGTGGTTTTGGGCATCAATCCGGAGGAGAACAGGCAGAAGATGCTGACTACCATCCACAACTACGGAGCCACAGTGCAGGATCTGATGGCTGGAAACAGCAGTAGGCAGATAATCGCAGCTCCGACGACGGACTTGCTGAGCTACCTGCGGGAGCAGGTAATGCCGACCTTCACATCCCTGTCATCTTTACTGGTGGCAAACACGGCCTCACCTGGTGGAGCTGTGCTCTATGCAGCTTCTGTTGCAAGACACAGGGGTTGATCTAAGGGTCCTCTGGGGAAATCATTTAAAGTTCCTGTAGGTCTATGAGGACAAGCATACGAGAACTTGTTTTCAATAAGTTTCATTCTAGGAACAGGAGTTATGATCAACTATCACATCCAGGCCGGAGCCCCGAAGCCGTAAGTTTCCATTTTATTTTCCATCATACCTATATAGCCTCTGTATTACTCCTACATAATCCCCTATAGAAAGTAGTAGTTTCCATTTTCTTTTCCATTATCCCTACTAATATCCCATGATCCGCCCAGGCAATACAGCAGCAAACTGCCGCCTTGCTTGAAGTCTCCATGGCTGTTGTGGACTTTTTTGTGGAGGCTGGTTCCTGAAAGCCAGAGGCTTCACACTTAAAGCTTGGGTCATTCCCCCACACAGTAACTGTCCTTAAAGGGGGCCTTATTAAAAGGTTATTATAATTTCTAGTACCCCTTGTGGTAACTGTTACTGTAAGGGGGAATAACCCAACTTAAAGCTGTTTAACTGGTTGCTAGTAGGGAATGAAGGAACGGAAAAGAAATGGAAGGCACTATGTTTGGCATTGAAGAGGGGCTGCAAGAGGGGTTTCATGGCCAGCAAGTGGTATAATGGGGGAAAAAATTAAGCAATTGGGGAAAATATTTTTCCCCAATTGTTTAATATTTTCCCCAGTTGTGTACATGGAGGCAGCAGCGGCTGGAGGCGCGGAGACTGCCGGGCTGCTGGTGAACATCGCTGGTAGGCAGCGCACCATTCTCCAGATGCTTCTGAAGCATGTTACCTGGTCTGATGGGATTCCTTAAGATACCTGTGTAGGAAGTTGGAAATTCAAGCTGCTGCAGGCGTGCATCTTTCCAGAACTAAAGCATCACCCTGGTACCTGCACATGTTTGCACCTCTGATCTTTGCACAAGGTTCTTTTCATCGCCCTCAGCGTGAGCATCACCGAGAGCCTGCAAGAGCTGGCACGCAGCTTTGTCGCAGATGCGAAAATCTCACATCATGTGAGGTGAATCCCTCCAATTCAGCCAGAATCCCTCCAAGTCAGCCAGAAAGCACCATCCGTCTTTAGCGGCAAGGGTCCTAGGCACTGAGATAACTTGTCATTCTGCCGTTGCCACAGCTGGGCCCTGCGTCGCCGCCCGTGCAGAAGCACTGCAGATGAGTGTACGTATCGGTTCCTAGCGCATACATCGCGCTGCAAAGCCGCTCACGCGATCGTGCTGTCTTAGCTGCTGGGCGAGTGCCAAAAGCCGAAGTCTTCACACGGCAGCGCTTTCGTGTAACTGTTGCCATGTGTGACGGCAAGGTGACCAGAAGCTGTTCGAAGACAGCCACAACGCCATCATCCTAGGAGCAGAGTGGGCTTCCATTCCGCGGCTCACGAGGTGGGCCCACTGGCGTGTTTGAAGCTCTGCTCTTGGAGCCCCTAGTTAAGGACTAAGTAGCTGCCTTGACAAAAGAGGGGAAAGAGGGCTTGTTGAATGGGCCAAGTGAGGCCGAGTGCCCTTGGAACAAATTTGTGGTACCAGCATCGCGCAGCCCAAGCCTGAAGGCTTTGCACCTTGCATCAGATGCGGGACGTCACCTTCTACTATGAGGTGGGTGTTGGGGTTCGGACTTAAGCATTGTGTGGGCATGCTTTCGCTTAGCTTGTATGTTCAGTTGCGGTGAAGTTCCGGGCACTCGTCATGCCCAACAACAAGAACAATCATGGCTACATGTTTAAGCTCCGCAATCCAAGCTGATGAGCTTCACCTATTCATGCGTTGGTGTCTCCCGAAGCTCAAGCATTGAGTAAAGCTAAAAGCCTGGTCCATGCGTTGGAGGTGCCTGACCTCACGGGGCTGTTGCCTAGAGGTTATGAGACTATACTGTTGAGACCCCATGTCGTTTTGGTTTACAGGAAGTGATGAGAGCATCCGAAAAGCAAGATGAAAGACCCTTGAAGTACTGCCTGGCAATGCAATTGCAAGCTCCAGGTCCTTGCTACACTTTGAGATTTGAAGCTGCGCTGTCTTAATTAGGGTTAAGTTCAAAACATGTAAACATGCCAAACATGCCAGATGCCGGCATGCCAGTCTAGCTAGACTTGTAGTCGTGAGACACCATTCGCGAGCCACATTATACCCTCCTTGGCCATTTGTAGAGCTGCAAATCCCATCATCCGGGTCATGAACGCTTCCAAGACCGAAGCCCAGCTTATCACGGCTTTGTGGAGGAAGCGATCCGAGGGCCTGTGCAGGACATGCTCAGCACGGATCTGACCAATGCTGTTGCTTTGGCCTCTCGTCAGATTTCATGTGGATGTGGTCAATGTGCGGTCCTAGGGTTCATGACAGAGCTTTACCGAGCAAAACAAAGTACATGTTGAAAGCTGAGATGACGGTCCTAGATTTCTGCCTGCATGAATGCTCTAGTTTTGGACTTTGGATGTCGCGAGCACATGCTGCTCCTGTTTTGGTGTTGTTCTCTTCAGACACAGGCTCAGTCTGCCGCGCAGAACATGTCCGACAGCACAGACCCTCTCGCTGTAGCAGCTCGCCGCAAAGGGAGAGGTCGAGGATACTTGGGCGGGTTTCTCCTCGACCGTGCGCATCATGCAATAACTGCATCCATGCATGAAGCCGCCTTGCACATGCTCCGTCCTCGCAACCGGCAGGCCATGAACGCTGCTGTGCAGTTGCACCTGGGCACAGTCAGCTTCCACTGCAAGCTTGCCAAGATTGCTGTTAGGGGTTCAGGGCCCCTGCATCGCAGACCGCAACTGCGGGGCAAAGTGCGCTAAAATGAAGAACACGTCTTGCAGCTGCCTGTCGAACTTGGGTCCCTGATGTGTACGGATGGCTTTAAACGCTGAGGTTCATTAACGATCCTGGGGCTTGCAGGCCAAAGGAGCACATGACAGAGAGTGCCCTGGTGGCCCTGTGATAGTGCCAAAGTTCACAGCCTCATGCATTGTTTGAAAACATTGCCATGGCACTCAGCACATGCGCAAGCTCTTGTGAGGTGTGCATTCCTGTAGCCCCAATGAAAGCTTCGTTCACAGTGGTTGCCGCCCATTGTAAGTTGTGGAGAAAGCATTGAAGGAGCTATGAGTCTAGGATGGGCATATCGTTGGCAGCTTGAATTTGTCCACTCCTGCGGCCAGAATCGAGGTGACTGGTGGCTCCTGGTGAAGGGTATCTCCTCAAAACAGTCAACGAGCCAGGAGGCCGTCGCAGGGACGAGGGCGGCTCTGAAAATGAACAAATGACATTAATGCGGACCAGGACAGCATTAGAACCACCGCCACACATAGCTCTGCCAACAAGGGCAGGAGTGCCGTGCTGTACCTCCTGTGTGTGGACAGGTCTATCGCCTGTACATGCAGGTGGCTGCTGGATCCTTTGTTGAGCAAGGCAGGGGCAGCTAAAACGTGTGCCCCTACAGCCATCACGACCCGTCTGGGTAGTTAGCATGCCTGGCCGAATTCTAGTCTGGGTAGTTCCCATTCTCTTTTCCAGTCTCCCTACATATTAACATCACTACATTAACCCCCCCATAACCTATATAAGCTCCTATATAGCCCCAATATGACCCCTATATAACCCCTACATAACCCTTATATTGGGGTTATATTACTATAGTGTATTGGGGTTATATTACTATAGTGTCTTATAAAACCCTACCGAAGTGGAGGCAAGGTGGAGCTGGCTGTGTTGACGCCCACCAGCACCCGTGACTTGAATTATTTGCAGCTTGGCACCCATGGCTTGAGGAGCCTAATCCTATGGTTCCAGTTTGTGCCAATTCATGACCCAGCTCGGCCAACGGGCAGAAGCAACGATGCAAATATGGTTGTTTTTGGCTGTCTTCTGCATAGCCGTGATATCTTCATGTCGGCACTATTGTTTGGCACATCTTGGGCACGGACACAAGTTCCTGAATCGCTGTGCCTGCTGAGTCTGATGCACGTACCTAAACTGTCTGCTGTTCGGGATGTGCAGTGTAGTTTCGTAGTTTCACCCGGGATTGAAACCTTGCGATGCTGTATGGCCATGCAAGTGGCCAAAACCCTGAACCCTAAATCATAAATTTCAGAGGTGTTGGGTCAAGTATGAAGCAGCAAGCTTGTAGGGTTGTGCTGTCTTCAGACTTCTGGGCTTCCGAGGTCCGGTGCAAGGGAAACGCTGTGAGATTCATGACCTGACCTTGCGCGTTTAAATAGACGATTAGCATTGGGGTAACAAGCTGGGGCACGCGTGTATGTTCCACAAGCAGTGAGCGAAAGTGCCAGATATGCAAGGCGACTAGTCTCCCCGCAGTTTCTGCCTCTTTCTGGGCAGCCCAATCCGAGGACTCAGGGATCCAGGGCGAGTGGCATCCCAGCTCCGCCCACGCAGGAGACTTTTACACGGCTCCACGGCGGTTGAGAGCAAAATAGTAATTATTCAGGGATTTTTAAGGTTGCTGTCAGCATCAGAAGTTTTGTGTTTTCCTGAATGGGTTGTAGCAGGCTGAAGCTTGTCTGCATCGGGCCCTGCCGTTACTCCTCACACCTCTTCAGGCACACCCTCGTGCTTGAGGGCCTTCAGCTGGAGCAGAGTGTGAGTAGAGTGGCCACAGCAGCTGGAGTTGATCAATATGGCTTGGCATGACACAAACCCCATGTTGCGGGCTCGAAGCAAAAGTTGACAGTTATGATCCTTAGTACTACTACTACTATTACTATTACTACTACTACTACTACTACTACTGCTGCTACTGCTACTGCTACTGCTACTGCTACTGCTACTGCTACTACTACTACTACTACTATTGTCACTCTTAATACTAATATCACTGTTGCAATTATTGGGGGTCCCTTTATGGGAGTCCTGGACAGCAATTTTGCGTACCGAGGCTATTGTCCTTGACTGACACCTGGGCCAGCCTGACTGCGAAGCTCGGCAATTGACATTTCTGGCTTTCGACGCGACCCTCAACCCTAAACCCTGAACCACTCTTGCCGGGGTTGATGGCTG